GTCGTCCCAGACCAGGAGATGTCCAAACGTTTCGTAGATATGCTGCATGACGTGGCAGGCTATCGCGGAGAGTGCCTCACGGCTCCGACCAAAGAGCAGAACCATAGAGCCAAGGCGATGGGGCCATGCCAAACGGTTGAGAAGGATGCAGATGGCTTCGACGGGGTTGGCTTTGTAGCGTGCGGATGTGATGACAGGGTCGGGAAGCTTAAGCAGTCGTGCAAGTAACTTTATTTCGTGCTTATCGAAACGAAAGTTGAACTCGCAGTCTTGGGTTGTCTGACTTTCTAAGTCAAAGCGATGCGCTGGGATTGTTATCGCTCTGGAGCTCGTGGCAAGGTACTCCACGAGTCCAGCCACGAGAGGAAGGACGGCGTGTCCTTCCTCCATGGGTGACTTTTGAAATCTCCTGTAGCAAAATCAACAAACCAATCAATTTCCTTGAGACAACTTTCCAGAAAAGTCTACCAGGAAATTCATGTTTGCAAAATCAACCTATTGAATTAAACATTCCTGAAACAACAAATTACTGCTTCGATAAATAAGGCACTTTTCAATTATCACCGATGCCAATGCGTCTGAACCTCGTCGACGGCATGGACGAAATTGCCCTTGGTGTTCAAATGCCCACAGGACGTAAAATGTCCTATTTTGTTCAGGACGTGTGCCTCAACAATTCGTGCTCTGTCCGCATCGCCGCCAGAGGTGGAAACAAGACGGAGTACATCTGCGCCAGTCAACGCCCATGTCAGTGGCGCGTTGTTGCGAGGCGTAAACATCAGTCCAAAATGTCTGGCTCAAGTTATTGTGTTACGGACGCCCAACTCGAGCAGTCGCACACTTGCACCGCGGTGGCCAGACCCACCGAGCGTCAGTTGGCAATGCTGACTACTGTAATGAGCTTGGTATCATTAAAATAATGAGTCAAAAGTTTTCGTACACTTCCACGAAATCGACCACACAGTTTGTATTATTCAAAGATTTGTACTTGGTTGCACCACCCTTGTTGGCAATCACCATGCTCAATCGCTTGGGCATGCTAGAGATCAACATTTGAATGTAGTCGGCGAGTACATTGTCCAAAGGTCCTGCACACGATCGCGCTAGTCATCAAGCGAAGATGGAGGATTTGAACGAATTCTCCGCTTTATATACTCCCATACATGCTGGATGAGGTTCAGGTCAGGGCTTTGAGGGGGGTGGTCCACAAAATTTTCGGTCAATTGCTCTTCCAGAAGGTCAAGATACACGGTCGAATCAACTTTTCCTTCCAATGTCACCAATGAACCAGTGCCTTTCCAGCCAATAGCTCCTCACACGATAATACTTTGGCGGCCACTTTTGAACGAGGGCACAAGGCACTCGCCGGAAAACTCTTTCCCAGGTCGGCGCCAAACAAACATACGCCCATTCGATCCAGTCAAGTGAAATGGACTCTCGTCAGTCCAAATAACTCGTTTCCAGTCGTCAATTGTGCATTTTTTACTTCAATGCGAACGCCATCCGCTTTTTTGTTCTTTATTGAAAGAAACGGATTGTGACGAGCCGCACACCGACGAAAGCCTTTTTCCTGAATACGCCGGCGTATTGTAGAGTTCGAAACGTCTTTTTCGAGAAAGACTTGAAACGTTTCACGCAAAGAGTCGACACTTATACGTCAATTTTGTTGAACCGAGCGGATAACAATTCGGTCCTCGTGTTCAGTGGTAACACGTGGGCGACCAGAGCGAGGCCGAGTTGCAGTTGTTCCATGGGTTTTGTAGCCATTAACAATCGACTGAACGGTTGCTTTTCTGAGGCCCAAATTTTTTGCAATTTTTCCAAGGCCCACAGCCCATCAATGTGGCTTGTAACAACAAGATCTCGCAATTCATGTGAGTGGTGCTTCTTTCCAGGGTTAGATCGTTCATCAGTTGGATTCGCCAACATAGCACACAACGAAGCAATGGAGTCTTCAGCGCAAAACAAGTTGTGACTTACCGCGATGAAATCGGGCATGTATTCAATGTTTGGCGCTAATTTTTGTGAAATCGTATGAAAACTGTTGTCATGGATAATTTGGGGTATCGATGTTTGAGTCAATTTTTCACGACGACATTTTGCGCCAATCATGCCGGACAATTATTCAAACTTCCTTAGTCATTGCTGGCTATCTCGAGTTCAAATTTCCTCACACGAATGCAAATTTCTGCTGTCGAAACGAGACACTGAAAAAAAATTGTCCGCCGTGTGAAAACTTTTGACACCCACTGTACGTAATATCACACAAATGAACAACGTCGACTTCGCAGGAACATGTATTGCGTAGATCCGCATGGCTTTACATGACGATGGTGTAGCGCAGCGCGCCTGCTCTGCAGGAGGCCTGGGTTCGACTCCCAGCACTATCTGTGGATGAAAAAGATGTTTGCGAATGTGTTGTGTTTGTGCTGAACTCTGCGATTCCGCTCATGCTGCCCGCCGCGATCAAGCGCATTGGTGTCTGACCTCGCAAGGCACATGCGTTGTGTTTATCTGACTGTATTTTGCGTATTACGGTGTGTTAAATTGTGCAGTTTGTTGAGTGTCGTCTTTGCTCTCGTTGTCGTTCTTGCCTATTGCGTCTTCGTTCATGGTATCGACAGCGCTGATTGGAGTACAGTCCGCGAAATAATTATATGCGCACATTGAAATCTTCAGTAAATCGCGATTAATGTCAGATAAAAAATACACCAAGGCTTCGGTGATTGTTCCCCATGAAGGGTATACCTCCAAGTCAAATTGCTATAGTACCTACCATACATGCGTTGAGCTTGAATTGCCAACATATAGGAGTATGGTTGAATTGACCCAGTCTGAGGCATCGGAAATATTTATATGCGCACTGCGTTTTGAATTTTCTAAATGTCGAAAGACGCATTCAAAATAGAATACGCTTGCCCAATAAATAGGCAACGTTGTGGCGCGAATCATGACAAAATTGGTCAACTGCGTATCATGCCAAGGGGTCCCAAGCTCAAAGGGTTCGAAATGGGCCAATTTTTGGCCTGGAAGCACGAGAAGATATGCAATCGTGAGATTGGACGTCGGCTCGAACGACCTGAGTCATTAGTGCGTTCGTACCTGAAGTCCCCGGGCACGTACGGTACGAAGAAGCGGTCGGGAAGGAGAGTGAAGTATACGGTTGGGCGCGTTGAAAGCTTTCAAATGAGGCGTCTGCCCGGACTGAAGGCCGTGACATCTCCTTACTCCTGTTGTGTCGTTTGCATGTTGCGCGATTGTGATTTGTGCCAAAGCAACTACGACACTTGCATGTTGTCGCAGACGGCTCTTCGGGCACGACTGGGGAAACGGCGTCTGTATGGTCTACCAGCTTGACGGTAGACTGGTGGCGGTTTGACTATGGCATTCGGCACAATGTCTTCGCCCACGGCAAGCAGCACTGACTTTACCAGGTACGCGTTGCAGAAACTCTGAATTGTATATACCTGGTCGCACCATTCGAATAGAAGGTGCGTCTTACCCGCGTCTGATAGCACCCCAATGAAGTGGCGACAGGATTACCAGTTTGATCACAGTCAGAGCGTGAACATGACTTTGTGCTACGCAATTGGTCTTTTTGCTTATTGGTTAGGTACTATTGGAGCAAGTTTTACAGCTTTTTATTCAACTAGATTAATATTTTTTACATTTTTAAGTGAAACAAATGCACATAAAAATATAACCGTCGTTTCTTCGACTCTCACCCAGGATGGAAAACATCCACGCTGGACTCGTTGAATCTATAGCTTGGCGCCTTTACCTTTTCAGCGTCAATGATTCCAGCAGCGTACGGTGTCACTACGCGACCTTTGGATGTCCCCTTTTGAGCCAACTTGTTTCAGTCCGACACATCCTTTGCACAAATGTCCAACTAGATCAACACAGCCTGAGCGGGTAAGGACAGACGTAACTTGTTTTGGAGTGTCTTGTTGTTGTCACTCTCAACAAAGTTTGTCGTACGGCACTTAAACAGTCGATGTCGCGTCAGGTCGGTTGAACTGAGCATGTTGGCGAACAAAACCCACTTTACAGGTTCAATTTGCCCTAAGTACCACTCCACACGATCACCAAACTTGGCACCAATGTGACCCAATGCTCCATTGTACGCCACTTCCGTGTCGCTGGCTTGGAGCCTCCACACACAGTATTCGAAGAAGCGACCTGCAAGAGACCAGACTTGCTCTTCAGATTTGATATGATATGTCGTATACAATAGTTCAAACATATTTGTTGTCCTGTGCGCGAAAGGGCATCGGCAGCAAACAGTGATTTTCCTCAATCCACAAATGTTGCACACTGTGTAAAGTTGACGCCGGCTTGAATACAATTGGTGAAGAACCAGTGGTTGTTGTCGGACTTCTTTTTCGCCACGATGCCAACAGCACTGGTGCAATTGGCAACAGCGTCTTTTACACGGTGCAGACCAACTCTTTTGGATTCCATGCTAACACCGTCAAGGTCTTGCACAATCGACACGAGGTTTTTACGGGAAACGCTGATATTGGCATGAATGATGAATTTCAAATCGTCATATCTACTACTTCCTCCGTTCCAGTACATCTGCATGAATATACGTCAACAGCCTCAACTTGGGCTTGAGAGCGCATTAAGACACCCAAAATGGCGGGAAAGATAGCCAATAACAAGCTCTACAGCTAGCTATTTTCTGAACAATTTAATTCCCTATAACACCCGAGGTATAGACTGGCTACGGTTGGCTACAAACGACAAAATTCTTTGAAACTTCGTAACTTCGTCATTTCTTATCCATTTGCCTTCAACCAAGTGCAAACGCTTTGGCTTGGTGCGTAGATATTACTAGCACCATTCAAAATCGCAAAAAACGTCCTTGAAGGCTCGCTACGGAAAAACAACTGCCGCGCCCCACGACCGGTCGTAACCTTACCGACGACCAAAGGTCAGCGGTTTACCATTGACTGCTGGAGTTCAAAAAAGAAGGCCGTGTTGGGCACGGCGAGATGGAGGAGCTCATGCGCACCTTTAACGTTAGCCAGGCAACAATCTCTCGGATCTGGACAAGAGGGTGCACGTCAGCTGCTCTTACCGGGTGTGCCAAGGTTGCTTCCAAGATGGCCGGACGGATTGCAGGCACACGCAAGTACTCAGACGAAGGTGCTCGCGACAATGTTTCGAGTGTCCCCCACCACCTTCGGTGCAACTTTCGCTCATTGGCTTCGGCAACGGGCATCCCGAAGACAACTCTTTGGCGTCACCTCAAAGCTAAGAAGCTTCGTCGAACAACGAGTCGGCTCAAGGCTATGTTGACGCAAAATCATCGCCTTGCACGATACAACTTTGCCAAGTCATTCGTGCGTGCTGGTCAGCTCGGAACTCGCCGTTGGCATGACATGATGGACATTGTTCATATCGACGAGAAGTGGTTTTACATCACACAAGTCAACCGTCGATTCTATCTTTGGCACGACGAGGCCGTTCCACAACGTAAAGCCCAGTCAAAATGGCATATCACTAAGGTCATGTTCTTGTGTGCTGTTGCTCGTCCTCGACCTCGACATGACAGCAAGCGTCATGCAATGTGGGATGGCAAGGTTGGTCTGTGGCCATTCGTTGAGACTAAGTTGGCAAAGCGGAAGTACAAGAATCGAGACCGCGGCACTCCTGTGACTGTTCCTATAAGCGTGACCAAGCCCATTTACCGCTACAACCTGATTGACAAGGTGTTTTCGGCAATCCAAGCCAAGTGGCCTGATCGTCGTGGAAGACCCATTTTTGCGCAACAAGACAATGCAAAACCGCATGTGGCGGAGGATGACGCTGCCGTGAAGGCGGCGGGTCAGTTGAACGATTGAAACATCCAGCTCACGGACCAGCCAGCGCAAGCCCGGACTTCATTGGATTCTTTTATTTAATGCCATCCAGTGCTTGCTGCATCAGACTACTGCTCGATCAATTGATGACCTCATTCAGTGCGTTGAAGGAGCGTTCAAGAATCTGAAGTGGGCCATTTCGGACAAGACCTTCATGACTTTACAGAAGGTTTTGGAGGAGTAAATGAAGATGGACGGCGACAATGTGTACAAGCTACCGCATTTGAAGAGGGACATTCAACTGAAGGCGGGTCATCATGAGTTGCGGCCGTCACGCGACGAAGAAGTCCTTTTCGCTATTGATCTGATGGAGAGTCGATTGCAGAACGAGCAAAGAGTCGACGAAATTGTAGGTTTGATAGGTAGTGGGCTTCGTGTCTGGGGATCTGAGGCTCTTGAAAGCATTGATGAGCTCGTGGAGCTACTGAATGATGTTGCAGTAGAGTAGCACATCATGCAACAGTTCGTCGTAAATTGTTGAGCTTGAATAAAAATATATGGAACACCCCGAAACATCCTGAATTTGGATGCAAACTTCTAGATGTAGAATGCTGCCAAAAAAGTCATGCAAATGTACTGGAACGGAGGATGTATAATACTGCGCAAAATGTGCCAAGGCAACTACATATCACTTCTAGAATGGCGGTGACGCAGCTTACGAATTTCGCAATTGTCCATTGTGAAAACGACCGAGTCAATCGAAAGATATACGACCCACAAGATGACAACCTGAAACTTATGAAAACTTTTGACACCCACTGTACCTCAGCGTCTTGTCGAATTCATTGCCATACACAATTGTCCGATCACTCCATTCGACAAGGTATCCAAATGCATTTTGTCCTATCAATTCCGACGAAGTGGAAACAATGCTTTTGGATTGGCTGTACTTTTCGTTAAAATTCTCATTGGACTAATCAAAATTGGTTTCATCCGGAATATGTCATTTGGTTGGCTAAAATAGCCCTGCTTCAGTTGCCACCCCTAGAGTTATCTCAGATTCCGCTCCCACTGCCGTCGCCGTGCGGCGGACACGCGTCCCATCCACGTCACCGCGAAGCTCCGCGAGTTCCTGGAAGCAATGGAAACCTGTGACGAGCGGTCGATAGACGGCGGAAGTGGGTACAAACGAGTTGATAAGTTAGATATATAGAGAGAGACCACGGACAACGATAGATTCTAGGCGGCGGGCATGGCGTGTTGGCTCTGTTGCTGGTGGGCAACCTGGAGCGCCTGCAACGACGCCATCCACTTGTTGTACTCCCGTGCGCTTGGGGCAACCAAACTCAACTTGACGGGCTTGGACGACCCCGTCGAGGTCGTAATTTCAAACTTGAACGCCTTGGCGTCGATGGCACGCACTTGCGAATGGACCATGGATACGACATGCGACGGCTTGTCGTTGGTCGAGTCCTTCTTGAACTCGGACAAGAGATCGTTCTTGAGGAGGAAGTAGCGCTTCTTGGGCCCGAGCAACGACGCGTTCGGGTTGTGGTCGACCTTGAGGTACCCCTGGGTGTGTGTAAACGGGAGAATTGCACGCACCCACACGCTGGGCCCGATAAAGCTGTCGAGCAAGACGTACTCGGTCTTGGTGGTCGAAATAATGACTTCCTGCAGTTTCGTGCGCGAGCTGACCGTGACAATGTGGCTGCACAGGACCTCGTCTTCCAGCGCGTTGGTATTCTTGTTTACAAACAAGAGGCGCTCGTGATCCGTCAAAATCAAATGGTACCGCTTCGATTTCTTGCTCGCGACGGGGCCTGCCAGCACGACGCGTTCGCGGGTCTTCAAGAGCTGGTCCCACACGTGCATCGTGGGCGACCGCACCAACGCCACGATCGCGTTCTTGTTGCGGTGGCGAATTGCGCTGGCCAGGTCGCCACGGCCCGCTGCCAACATGTCCTTGAGGATGGACGCTTCCGGCATCGTAACCACCCCGACCGACGCGACGGTGTCACAATAGTCCATCATGTCGGCAATCGCCATGGAGTCGCCAAACAAACTCCCGCCTTGCCCTGTCGCCGTCATGTTGTTGTTGTATGCGTCATAACTTCCAGGCGAGTGGGGCTCCTTGAGGTTGAACGGGCCTTTGACAACCTTCTGAAGCGACGGACGAGGGGATGGTGTGGGCGACGGGGCTGACCACGATGCCACCGAATGTCGCTGACTGGAGCTCTTCGGCGTGGAATTTTCGAGGTACTGCATCAAGTACTGGGGTTGGACACTGGCGCGCCAAAACACGACCACTAACGGCCGTGTCGACCGCTTCAACAAGCTCACGGCGCGCGCGTACTCGGGGCCGTTCAAAATGTTGCCGTCAATTGCATGGATACTGTCGCCAATGCGGACGCCGCGCGACTCGGCAAACCCCATGACGTTAGGAATCGATTGCGGCAATCGCGAGACGAGGACTCGGTCGTCGTCGCATGTGATGGTCATGTTGAGTGCGGGTGCCGTGAACTCGACGGCGTACAGGCCTTCTCGCATGCGGGGTCGAAAGAAATGAACAGACAGTGGTCGAATCGGAGTCTGGAGCATCTGGATCACACTGTCGTACTGACGTCCGATGGCGCGGACGCCACCAACTTTGTACACAACATCACCGAGGGAAATGAGACCAGTGGATTGTGCATAGCCCATAGTGCCGTCGGAGTTTGGTCGAAACGCATTGACGACGACATTATCGCGGTGGTAGTCTCGAATCGTAATGCCGAGGGATCGATCTGGGAACGAAACTTCGACAATGTCGTCCTTTTTTAGGGGTGCAAGTGCTTCGGTCTTCGGAGACAAGGTCAGGACAAGGGGCGCTTCCGGCGTCTTGGTTGTGAGTTGAAAGAACGAGTGTTTGCTCATAGGGACCAAACTCGACGTATTGAGGTCGATGAGGTCGACCCACGAGTCGTCTGTGATACCAAATGTGTTGCGGAGAGTGCCTTCGAAGACCGATTCGAACACGTCGTCCGGGACGGACGGGTCCCACGACACATGTCGCGACGCGCCTGAATCGAGATCAATGATGCGTATGGACGTCGGTGTTACGAGGGCCATGGGAATAGATCGATAGATGGATGTGACGGTGGTGGACAGCGGGCGAGCGGACGAGCAAGCGAGCGGTCAAGTCGGCCGACCAGCGCAACTGCAGAACTGAGAGAAAGGGAGAGGAGACCAAGGTTCGATGGGGTGATCGGCGGCTGAATTTTAAAACTTTTTTCGGCCAACTTCAAAAAAATACGTCCACGAGACCGTCAAAGTGGCTTGCCGCGAAAAAATTTTCACATTAAAATACAGGTGGCCAGAATTTGGACTGGATTCCTGTTGGAAACCTGTGGGGGTTTATACCGCCACCCCTCACACGAGTCTTTACACCAACCGCTGGCATTCGACCGCATGGATGTGGAGCATGTCTCGACGTGCATGTCGCTGAGCATCACGGCATTCGCAGTCGCATTCGCACAGTTCATTTGACCACTATAGCTCCTGCTCAGACTCACGTTCCACGTCGGTGCTGGGAACGCCTCCCGCGGGACGTCGGGTTCACGGTGGAGTATATTCATTTTCACAGGTTCTCCTGGCGTACTTAGCGACAAGCCAATCGTTGAGCCGAAGTAGCAGGAAAATGTTTCTCAGGAATGGGTTCAACATTCAGTTGCCTCGCTTTACGGACATATCACCCTAGCATTCTTTGTAACAGCACAACATTCCCTCGAGTGAACGACCCTTCAGCGATCCAAAGGATACGGTACACGTACCTCGTCCGGTGGGCGTGAAATTTTCCATTCGGTACATCCGAGTGCGGCGGGTGGCTGCCGCGCCTGTTGTCCCCTGCACCCGTCGCCGTGGATGGCAAGGACATGCCACGGCAGGCACCGCGCCGCTTCCGTTGGTCACGGTCGATGCAACTTTCGCACGTGGACCGTGGCGCAGGGTCCCACGACTCGAGTCTGTCTCCATCTGCACCTTTCCGTGAGGTACACCTGCCAGGACCGCCGCGTTGCCACGTGGGACGACCGCGCTTCCCACGATCAATGTACCACGACCGCCGACATCATGTGCTCCATTAAAACGGGGCACGCCCGACGCAGGGTGCGGCGCCAGCACCTCCCCCACCGCCTGTTTGGGACAACTTGGGTTTTGTCACCGTTGTAACAAGTCCAGGCCTGGCAGCCAGCCATCTTCCCGCACATCCAACGGGACCATCAGGGCCGCTACGGAGGGGCATGCACGCCCGTGGCACAGACACCGCCTTCCCCTTCGACTTGACGTCAGCAGCTTCCTTCTCAGACTGGTCAACCACGTGAAATACACCCACACTACCTTTGATAAGACGCACGTGCCAGCCTCGGCGACATGCACAATGACGCAACGTTTCTCGGTGCCTACGTTCTTGGCGAGGCAAGTTGATGGTGTGTCGCCGGTGTGCACATCACCACCGGCCTCCGTGGGTGGTTTGGATGACCCAGCAGCACCTATGTGAACCCACCACCAAGATTCAGTGACCGGGTGGGTCCTGGACCATCACTCCAGTCCGACTGCAAACGACATGAGGTCGCGGCAAGCCGTCGCAGCAACGTGTTTCGGCGGGTCCGCGACTGTCACCGCGCTCGATACCACGACTGTGGTCCAGCCCACGTCGATGGCCCGCCGCGCGACGTCCGCCGCTGCTCTACCACAACGGACGAAATGCTATTGTCCCACGGATCGAATGTAGGTTTTGTGAACAACCGTGACGGAAACGTTCTCCCACTGTTCCACGACATGAAACCGACGTAACTGTCCATCCGAAACGGCGCGACGGTTCACACGCGCTTCGAATTCGAATGCGATCGAGGAAAAGCGGCAGTGCTGCTCGTACCGCGCGACCAACGGTATTGCCCCGGCGTGCACAAACATCGACATGCAACGGTACACCGCTGATGAATGGACGTGGCGGGGACTCGACGTGCCGCCACCGACCACGTTCTCGCCAGCGTACGTGGCCCACGTGAACGCGATCCTCCGGTCGAAATCCGCGGCAGAGGTCGTGATGTGGGCCGCCGACACGTTCGGACCGTCCCTCGCACTTAGCTCAAGTTTCGGCATTCAATCGGCGGTCATGCTGCACTTGGTATCGCAGCTCACCGCTCGCGTGCCCGTCGTGTGGATCGACACGGGATACTTACCACCCGAAACATATGCGTTTGCAGCAACGTTGCAACAAGCGCTGGATCTCAATCTGCACATTTACCAGCCGAAAATGTCCCCCGCGCACATGGAAGCCGTGCATGGAAAACTGTACGAGTCGTCGTCGGCAGAGGACCACCAGTTGTACGGACGCCTCCGTAAAGTCGAGCCGATGGAACGCGGCTTAACCGAGCTCGGCGCGACCGCACTCTTGGTCGGGCTGCGAGCGGACCAGACGAGCCACCGCCGCGGTCTCGACATAGTGCATGTTCACAATGGACGTCTCAAGATTTGTCCCATTTTGCACTGGACACAGCAAGACGTGGACGCGTACATGGCGCGACACAACCTGCCGTACCATCCACTGAAAGCCCTCGGGTATGCCACCGTCGGCGACGCCCATTCGAGCCGTCCTGTGACCGACCGAGACACGGACATTCGGGCCACGAGATTTCGTGGCCACGCACAGGAGTGCGGCCTCCATCTAAGTGACGACAACAAGGTCGGGAAAGAGGACGTGCCACCGCCTCGCTACGATGACGTCGACGCCATCGTGTACTCCAAGCCCGCCTGCAAATTCTGCAGCTTGGCCAAGGACGTGCTGGCCCGGAACAAGTGGTCGTACAAAGAAGTGATCGTTGGCAAAGACATTTCATATCCAAGTCTGTGTCACATCGTGGGAAAGCCGGTGACGACCGTGCCGCAGATATTCGTACAAGGCCAGTACATCGGCGGGTACACGGAACTCGACCGGTTTGTCCACACAGCTGTGGATCGGGAGTTGCTGCCGCCATTCCAAACCTCGGGCCACATCCATGCGTCCACATCGGCGTAGCTAACCGTCCCGAATTCGAATAGGATTTGAGTTTTCTAGTGGGGGGATTCAAAGAACGACTGGAGCGCCTGGATGTCCTTCAAGGCCAGTGAGTACGTGCGAGTCGAGACCGGGTCCGTCGGCGACGCACGCACGACGCGGGACAGCGTGGGAACAGCACGTACAGGAGCCACGCTTTGCTGCCGGAACGGATTGTCCCTATCCTTCCACTCGGAGAACGAGTCGGCAACCACGAGCGTCAACAAGACCGCGTGCTTGGGGGCGTGCTTGTCAAAGTAGAAGTGCAGCGGGACGTCGGCGATGTCGCAGTACGGGCACCACGGGCGACCTGATGTCGAAATAAATGAAAACGAGACAACTCGAAACGGCACAAATCCAGCGGTCGATTTCAGCAAATAAATGAAAACTCAACAATATCTCACACGTCTTACCCGTGCGACGTTTGATCCCAGATGTAAAGTACAGGAAGAGGGGGTAGTCGCCTTGGTACGCTTCCAGGAACGCGAGCATCTCGTTGCCGTCGCGAATAGTCTTGTACGACGACGCGGGATGGCTCATCTCGACACGGGGCTTCGATTTGAACACAAAGTCCAAGAGCGCCGGCTGCATCGCAAACGTTTCCGACAACAGTTGCGACGTCTTGAGGTCGCCGTCGTACTTGAGCAAGGACGGGATTTTGCGGATGTGAAAAAGCGACCTGGTACGGAACGGATTGAAGTCGTCTTTCCAGTCTTGGGGAGAACCGACGCTGACTTCCAGGAGGCGCGTGTTGGTGGGAGCGCGCGCGAACGCGTCCGTGATGGGCTGACGCGCGTCTTCACAGTCCGGGCACCAATACGTACCGTTGGCTTCGCTGCTGGTCAGGAGCACGAAGACAGGACCTTCCGCCAAGTTGACTGTGCGCAAATACGTGTCAGCAGCGTCGAAGTCGGCGACAAAAAATCGATTCGGCCCTCGCATCTCCAACACTTCGTGCAAACGCGCCAAGTTCTCCGCATGTGCTTCATCCACCGAGAACTTGAACGACGGAGCGGTCCAGATCGTGGTAAACTTGGCCATGTATGTCACTGTGCTCAAGAAAAGCAAGGCCAACGTGAGCTGGAAAATGCGCATCGTCGTGAGCGCATGCGCGGCCGGCGGAGACTTGCCTTTGCTCGACATTCGTCTTGCAGGATTATATCGTGGTTCGTTTTAACATCGAGACGTTGGACTACGTTTTTGTAATGGTATACAAATATCAAGATAAATGACGGGAAGGACGACTCCAGCCGGTGCACATGTCCGGATAAGTCGATGCAAATACGGATAAGGTTCCGGACAGGCGGACGAGGGATCCGAAACGCGTTCGAAACACAAAACTAGCACGAATAACGTCATTCTTGGTTGCCGTGGTGCGCATGCGTTCGTCGGCGTCGAGTACGAATGGTGACAATGTCGTTCGGTTGCACGTTTCGTTGGCGCTTGGTTGCCTCAGTTTCTGGGCTTGAAATGGATCGTGGTGCCAAGTGGGAGTGAGAAAGGCGACGTCGTGAACTACGGGCGCGTTTACATGTAGATTCCTCGGCGAATTCCAACGACTTCGACACCTTTGCGTGTTCCAACGCAATGTTTATAAAACGTTTCATTCCTCGGCAAAATATTCTCTTGCCGGATATGACCATCGCGATGTCGGACGCCGCCGCCGACGACGCGGCATTCCTCAAGGCCGTGTCAGAGGCCCTGCGGAGTAATGTCGAGATCAAGGACCGCCGGGTGCGTCTCCGCACGCAGCAACTGTGCTTCGTCGGGGCCGAGGCCGTCACGTTCCTTGTGACGGCAGGTCATGCACCTACACGCGAAGCTGCCGTTGCGCTCGGCCAGCGCTTGCTGTGCAACCAGTTCCTTCGCAAGCTGTCCAACTCGGATGGCGAATTTCTCGACAGCAATCTTCTGTATCGGTTTGCCGAAGACGAAGCGGCTCCCATCCGCAAGGCATCGCCGGCTCTTGGTGGCCGATTCCGCCCGACGAGGCGGTCATCCAAGTTCAGTCATGCCACAACATCGAGTAGCATCGAGGGATCATCGAGTGGCAGTAAGCCTCGGTTCCATTCCAGTTATCGGTCCGCGGGTAGCTACGACCACTCGACATATTGCCACGAAGACGAGTTCGCCCAAGGCATCCGAACGCAATCCCTCATCGACGAGCAGCGCGCGGCGCGGCTGCGCAAGTCGTCGTTCTGTCCGATCGAGTCGATCCTCACTGTGGCGCCGGTGTCGACTGTTGGGTTCACCGACACGTGCTCGTTCTACTTTTCGCCGCACACAACCCACAACTCGATCGCACTCACCGTGCCGATCGTGACCGCGATGAAGGCAGCGTTTTCGTCGCGCAATCTGCACGCGCGCGAGACGGCGGTGCACCACCTGCGCAACCAGGTGCTGAAAGCGGCCGACCCGTCCGACAAGAGCTGGATGTACCTGAAAAACATCACGGGGCACCATGGCAACGACGTCCGAGTGTTTTGCAAGACCAGCGGGGGCGGGTTCCAGACCGTGTTGACGGTCGGGCCGGTGCACGTGGCGCCGTCTACCTTTGTCACGCACTTCTTGGACTCGAACGAGCGCAAGAAGATGGATGCGCTGTTCGAGACGAGTCAGACCGTCGAGGACCTGCTCATGGCGCATCGCCGCGACAAGATGCACGTGAAAAATCACTTTCACGAAGTGTTTTCGACGGCCGCCGCCGCGCCGTGGATGGACCCAGAGCACCCCATGCCCGATGAAGTCCACTGGGCCGTCCAGCCCTCGGAACGCATGGCCGACATGTTTCCAGAACAGCAGCAGCAGCCCCATGCCCCACACCACGACAAGTCCGGCCTCAAGACTGACGGCGGCGTCCAACGCATCCTGTATCGCACGATGGCGCCGCCGTCGGCCGTCTTGTCGGCCCGGGACTTTGTCACGTTTCAGGACTGCTTTTCCATGGACAACGGCGCACACTGCGTGTACGAAATTTCGGTCGAGCACCGCGACATCCCGTCGAAAATGGAGGTACTTGCATGCTACCACGGGATGCGATCGTGACGAGAGGTTGCCACCATCCCTAGCGCTATACGCGCGGCGAGGTGCTGTGCCTGGCCCACATCGCCGAGCCTATTCCGGGCAACCCGAACGCGAGCATGCTCACGGTCGTGACGCAAGTCGGGCTCAAGGGAAAGCTGCCGGCCTTCATCGCCAACTTGATCTTTGAAAAGTTGATTTCGCGCAGTTTTGACGCCCAGGTAGGCAGTCGAGGTCGCGACGGCGTCGGTGAGGGATTCCAGTAGACGTGTGGGCTCGTTGTCGACTGCGCGTCCCACATGAGGTCGTCGCTGCGCGACGTTCCGTTCGATCGGCAAGTCCCCGACGACATCGTGCAACGGATTTCTTCGGGTGGTGCCATGCCTGCCAACAAGGACGGCAATAAAGTCGGGCTGCAAGACTTTGAGCTGCTCGCCGTGCTCGGCCGGGGGTACGATATTCTCGTCCAAGTCGCTGTTGTCCTCACGTTTGTGCAGCGGGTTTGCTAAAGTGATGCAGGTCCGCCACAAGCAAACGCGCAAAGTCCATGCGATGAAGATCCTGAAGAAGGAAGAGCTTGTCCACGACATTCAGGTATGCGGCCATGCCCGGCCGGCGCCATGGCGTACCACAACGTCTTGTAGATCGAGCGCACCAGGACCGAGCGCAGCATCCTGGCCGCCGTCGACCACCCGTTCATCGTGGCGCTCTCGTATGCGTTTCAAGTACTGCCACACGATGGATTGTCGTGCGGTCGTCATCGGAGCTTTGTAGGACACCAAGCGGCTCTTCATGGTGATGGACTTTGTGCAGGGCGGCGACTTGTTTGCACATCTACGAAAGTACGGCGCCGTGCCAGTGCCGCGCGCGCGGCTGTACTTGGCCGAGATCGCGCTCGCCGTGTCCCACCTCCACGCGCTCGACATTGTGTACCGCGACCTCAAGCCCGAGAACGTATGTGGCAACAACTCGTGATACCGACCCTGACAACGCGTTCGGCAGGTCCTCATCGACGCGGACGGCCACCTCAAGATCACGGACTTTGGGCTGTCGCACTTTTTCGACCCCCCCGACTACGACGACGAAAGCGATGTCCAAGCTGCCCCGTCCTGCGCGAGTTCATCCATCCGCAGCAACTCGCTGTGCCAAGTGACCCATTCGTTCTGCGGGACCGAGGCATACATGGCGGTACGTGTTGCGGCTGGAACTCGGCCACCTGATGTCTTGTGTGCAGCCCGAGATGCTACTCCACTTGGGGCATGGAAAACCCATCGACTGGTGGTGTTTGGGCATCGTGGCGTGCGAAATGCTCACGGGCGTCCATCCGTTCCGCGGCGACTCGCACATGCGGCTCCTCTCAAACGTCGTCAACCGCGATCCAATCCTCCCGCCGCACTTGCCGCCCGACGCAGCGTCGCTAATCCAAGGGCTCTTGTGCAAACAGCCGCGGCTGCGCCTGGGGTCGGTCGGCCGCAAGTTTGTCGAAATCCAGGACCATCCGTTCTTTGCCGGGCTGGACTGGGCCAAGGTATCCAGTGCTAGCGTGTTGACGGACTGAGTCGCGGCGTGTGCAGGTCGAGGCGAAGGGATACCCAATGGAGTTTATGCCGCCGATCGAAAGCGACTTTGACGTGAGCAACTTTGGGTCCCAGTACACGAGTGAAAAGTTCTCGGGCGCGAACTCGAGCGCGTGCGCGACATCGGACGCATCGTCCCAACCGCCGATGGAGCACCCCACCCAGTCGAGTCAACGGAGTGGGCCATCTTCCGATGATCACAACAACTCGTACGTTGTGCGGTGCAGCCAGCAGTCTTCCGACACGACCCACGGCAGTCAGTATCAAAGGTTCTCTGGTTTTTCGTTCGCAGGGCCTCCGGATGTCGAAGGAAGTGGCTGTTAACAGGATTATTTAGCGTGTGGCGATCGACGGGTCGTGCGTTTTTTGGCGGCAGGTTCCGTGGCGTCGGTGGCATGGCGTTTCTCGGCCTTTGGTTTGGGTCGACGTGATGGGGACGGGTTGTCGCGCACTTGCTCGATCCACAAACAGAGTTGGATCTTCTGGGCTGTCCACTTAGTGCCATCGTCTTGGCTGACTGACTCGTTGAGCGACGTCGCTTTGGCCTGCATGGTGTCGAGGAACCGAACGAAATGAGGCAACGTGTATTGCCTTGCGCCAATGACGCCTGCAGTGGACGAAGTCAGATCCAAGCGGACAACACGAGGAGCTAACTTGTCAATGCGTTGAGCGCTTCATCTCCCATAAACGGAACCGCCGGGTCGAACGCGGCGAGAACGGCCGAGGCGGTCGCCGGGCCAACCTGAGAAGGATTGCATCATCAAGGCAAACACGAGTGAAGCGCACTCCTTTGAGCTCGGAAAGGGTCGCCGTTGCGTCGCGATACGACTTCTTCTTGCACGCATCAAATGCTTTCTTGGACAGCTCGCGAACCTGCTTGTCGGGCAGCGCGTCGACAAAGCTCTGCAGCCTTGGGCGCCTGTGCATCCATGCAATCTCAGCCTCATTCCCTCCAAACGCCAAGACCTCGTACGCACCATTTCCCTTTGGACAGCTTCCATTCCATCAACTTTGACAATTGAGGCTGCGTGATGTATCCCTGGGCCTGCACGAGGGGTGGCAAGTCGGTGTGGAACCATTTCTCCAACGTCTTCAGTTTGGTCTACAGCACTCACACACACAGCTCAATGAGCGACACGAATCCTCGCGAGCGCAGCGTCAGTTCATTCTCACCTCCAAAATGCTACACACATCGTCGTACATGGCATACGCCGCGCGCCATGTCTCCGGGTCGGCCGCCTTCCACAAGGTGCTGCTCATGTTTCCCGACGAAGCAAGCTTCGCGCGCCGAGGTACGGATATCCGAGCATATTATCCGGATCACCCACTCCCCTTCCATGTCATCGAAAAAGGCGCGCACGAAGGAGGACGAGTCATGGGGATCGTCGGCCTGCCGACGCAGCTAAAGGAAGCGTACCAAGATGCAAGCGTGCTTCATTTCGCGGGAAAGACGGTCGTTGTCGATGCCCTGTCATGGCTCCATAAAGCGTGAGGCACATACCGACGTTGGCATCTCGTTTGTTGCCCAATGTCACCATTTGCTTGGGGTAGATGCTATGGGTGTGCGTTCGATCTCGCGCTCGGCAACGAAACGCAAACCTACATCACGTATGTCATGCGTCGCGTGGATCTTCTCAAGAACGCCGGCATCCATCCCATCTTGGTGTTTGACGGGAAGAAAGTCCCGTTGAAGGTACGGAGACCCCTCGATCGTGCTGAAAACACGATCAATGCGTGGTTGTAGGCAAACACCCATGACAAACGCAAGAGTATTTCAGACGCGAACCGAGACTTGGCCATGAAAAGCTTGCATGACGCGCGTCACCTTCGCGGTGATGAGCGGAAGGAACACATGGCGAAGACCTATACATTGTTTCAGCGGGTACTGTCGTCTCCACGCGATCTACAGTTGAATGCCACGCATTTACCGCGTCTCTAGTCTGTCAAAGTTACTTCCGACGTCGTGTGTGCCGTGCATGCCGCGTTACGCGCCGCCTCGGTCGACTTTGTCATTGCGTACGGATCTGTCATGTTTCCAGGTCATTTTACACAACCTCCAACTAGTCCGTTCGAAGCAGACGCGCAAATGGTGTACCTGTGCAAGGTCCAAAAAGCCTCTGCCATCATCACAGAAGACTCGGATATCCTCGTGTACAGCATCACTGCCAACGTCGCCGTGCCGATCCTGCTCAAGCTCGACTATCCCTCCGGCGCCTGCAAAGTAAGCTACACCATCGACGTATCCGTGTTCATGTGTTCAATTCCATATTTTTCAACACCGCATGTCGCCTTGCACTCGTTGCGTCCACTTGTGCTGACGATCTGGCTCTCTCGTGGCATGTAGATTGTGTCCAAGGCGATTTTGAAGGCCCATGGCGCCACCGCCAAAAGTACGTGCTGCACCCTCGTCGCTACCTGTCGTGGCTTTGTGTGAAAGCCTTCCGTGTTCATGACCATGAGCTCGTGTGTAGGCTCGGCGTTTTTGAAGAAACTCGTGCACTTTCTCGACGACTCGATCGACAGCATTCGCATGTTTGTCCAAATGTGTGTGCTGTCGGGGTGTGACTTTCTCGAGTCGCTGCCCAACATTGGTCCCGTGGTACGTCCGATGGATGCTTTGGAGCACGTCTTCATGATGGTTGGCGGATAGACAGCCCAGAAGCACGTATTTGCATTTCGTGGAGCCCCCGGCCACCTACGTATGCAGCGCATCCTGTCCAAACTCAAGATGGACAACTCGACCCTTGCCATCCCCTCCGACTACCTCGATCGATGTCGCGCTGCCGAAGCGCTGTTTTACCACCACTACGTGTACAACCCGGATTCGCGCGCGTGCGAGCATCTAGTCAACGCGACGGATTTGTCCATGACCAAGGACATTCACGACCTCGTCACTTGCATGAATCGAGGGCCTTCCATTGTCGGCGACCCCTCGGGCTCAAGCGACTGCATCGTCGAAACTGCTGACCGCATGCATACCACCTACCATGGTCTCAACCACTCGACACAGACAAACGGTTCGATGGCGACCCCGTCCTATGTCACGCCACCACCTGCTGCACCGTCCATAGTGGTCGAGATATCGGACGACGAGGTAGTGTCGACTGCCCATGACGATTGCATGCGTGGTCGGCCTTCCAGCAGCAAGAACAACACGAACAGTGCTCCACAGGCAACGCTGTCACAACGAGTTGGGACGTCCGATCTGGTTGATCTATTGGATCAGTACCGCCGAAGCTCGACTCGGCACGCCCCCAAGCGACCGACGCCACAAGAGAACTTACCGAGCGACTTGATCAAACTTGATGACGAGTGTCCTGCGAAGAAAAGTCGTCATGTCGCCTCGGTATGTGCGCCGCAAGACCTGTTTGAGTCGTTGCAAGCAATGCCCGAACCAAGCGGCAAGTCTCCGTCGCCGTCTGGAGTGACGTTTCGTCGTTGCGCGACAAGTGTATTTGCCACATCAGCCGGGAAAGTCCTGTCATCGCACCAGACGTCTCCATCAGCCACCAAGAAGAAGGCAGCGAAACCTCTGGCATCGGCCAAGGGGCCAACTCGTCCATCGCCAACCAACACGAGGACGCTCCATGCGTTTTTCGCCAAGAAATCCCAGCCACCCTCTTAATATACGCGCCCCCCAAGGTTTACCTCGTCGATGATTGCTTGTTAGAGTCAAGACGTTCGTGAGGAACCATGTGCGTGGTCTGACCAGTCGCCGTAACCACCCCGGTCGGCTTGAGCGGGTGTTGGAGGCGGTACTTGAGCAGTGGGGGAATGTTCCGGCTACGATATCTCCATTCACGTGACTTGTCGTTGGACCGGAAGGCAACTTTCAGCGCCACTAGTTGCGCTTGCTGCCTGCACACCATGCCTATGCCGCGAAGCGTGTCCGTCATGCGGCGATGTTGCTGCCGCAACGTTTGAATGCGCGACTCGAGGGCCATCCGCCCAGGCTCGCCGAGAGGAATGTTTCTGCGCTCCATTCGCAATCGCATCGACTTCCACGCGTTTTGAATCAATTGGGCCGCAAGGGCTGTCGTGGCCGTTTCAATGGCGTTCGGCCCGTCGGACGCCGTAGCCTTGGTCGATCCCAGTCGTGTCGTCGATGCGGTCGACGCTCGGCGCTTCATGCACCTTGCGCGACCGCCCGCGGAAGTCGCGCCTTGCGCGAGAATCGCAGGTACGTCCACGAGGCCCAGCTCAGTCAACGCGACGGTCGTCGATTGAGTCGCGCGGACGAGGTGGAGCCGCCGCACGCTCGCGCGGCGACCATCCTCTGTCGTTTGAATCACGTGATTCGTCTCCATCAAGTAAATCCCCTTTTTGTGCGGCCGCAGGCGTCTCGCGCGCCATCCCCGCCACATCATTTGGATCGTCGTCGCGGCGCAAGTCGCCGCCATCCATTCCAAGTCCATGGCTGCTGTCGCTTCCCCGTGGCATTGCTGTAGCGCACTGATTCTTCGCTCGTTTTCAAGTTGGCGGCGCTGCTGGTCCCGCAGCACGTTGGTGAGGTTGTCCACCATATCATCGTACATGGCCACTGACAAACTCCGTGTCAGCGCTGGAACTTGCAACAACGGATGGCTCCGACGTACCTCGACGGTGCTCGCCCGCTAGCTTCCGCTCCAAGCATACCAACTACCGTCCAAAGCAAACATCAATCAAGGAACCAGTTGCGCCACGTACTTCGGCGCCGACATCCGCCATCTCCTGCTGAATCGCCATGCACTCCAACGTTTTCTCTTCCAAACACGCCTGCGTCAACTTCAGCCTGCCCAGAGTACCTCCGTGAGACTGTGAAGGTGCTATTCGAGCTTGCCGTTCAAGGAACTTGACAGTCTTGCCCTCGGCAGCGTGCCGCTCCCGTCGCGCGCGCTCGACGTCGTCCTGCAAGCGCGCTACCTTTGCCTCCCATACGTGGGTCTCTGCAGCCCATTCGTCGCGGGCGTCCAAGTACGTGGCTTGCCAAGCTCGGCCCGCTTCGATGTGGCGCGCGGCCGCCTCTTCCGCCGCCATCAGCATGCCGCCGCTCACCTCCCACTGACTCTCCAAGGCACTGGTCAGCGTCTGCACTTGAACTTCGAGCTGCCTGATTGTGCACTCGGCGCGGACCACGTTGCGGTTTGCCATGGCGTGCTCGAGTGTGCGCTGCTTGAGGGTGTCAGTGGCAATGCGCAACTTGTCTTCCAACGACCGGGCGAGTTCACGGGCTTCCCGGCGCTGGTCTTCATAGCTTTGCATCGATCGCTCCAACCTTCGATATGCGTCTTGTTGATCTATTCCAGCATCGTCAATGCCAGAACGAGATCGCCATGGAAGCTGCGGAGGGACCCACTGCAGGCCTGACAGGGGCAAATGATTTGTGGCCACGCTATTCTTTCTCGACGGGCTTCAACGAAGTTCTCGTCGAAGGAAAGATCGACGAAGTTGCGCCGAGGTCGACGGCATGCCCCACCACAGCCCCCACAAAATTGCGCAAGACACTGGTCAACGTACCTGAGAGCAAGCCTTCCATCTTCGCACGCTGCTGGCGCCACACCGCCTTGGACTGGCGAATTACGTGCTGGAGCCACAGGCACCAAGCTGCATACTGTTTGAGGATAGCTTGCAAGTGCACGCGCCATCGAACGCTCCGCCACGTCGTGAGTTTCTACGGCAGCGGTGTTCCAGCCGCCTATCGTACAAGCAACTTACCACCGTGCTTCGCCACTGTCCATCCATTTCATCGTACTTGGTCTGCCACAACTTGGTCTTGGTGCGAAAAAGGTCATCGAGAGTCGTGTATTGGGCCATGGATGCGTCGCGTTCGCGAGTTCGTTCGTCGAGTTGCTGTCGCGTGGCGGCAAGTTGCTCTTGTGCGGGTAGCAACGCGACGACAGCATCCTGGAGCCGCTGTTCCAAGTCAGCCATGGCGTTTGTCATGCGCTGCTTGGTGGCTGCATGTGCGTCAACTTCCCGCTGCCATTTCAACGACAACGCGTTCAGGTCCTGCATGTGGCGCAGCTCCACGCGAGTCTCGATTTCGGCGGCTGCATTTTCAAATCGCTCGACGTCTCGCTCAAGAGATTGGATCACTTGGCCTGCTTTGACCTGGCGCTCCTCGCACCGATCGAACTTGCGCTGCCAGTCCTTCCATTGCGTTTCCAGCTCGGCCGCCGCGGCTGCTGCCGCTGTTTGCATTGCAATCGCGTGCTCTGCTTGTGTTTGGGTAAGCTCGGCTTTGAGCTGCGACACCGCCATGTCCGCGGCAGCGGCGGCCGTCTGGAGCTTCGCCACCTGTCCTTGCCATGGCGTCGTTGTCACGGTGAGAAGTGCCAAGACAATTGGTGCCCTGCACGCACCATGGTTTCGAGGTGGACGACAGTGGATTCCGTGGTGGCGTGATGGGTTGCCCGCGCCGCCATGGCGTCTAGCTTGCCCTTCAACCGCTTCTTTTCGTCCTGGAGGAATGCCGTCAGCTTTTGCTCCTTGGCCAGCATGCGCCGGAAGGTCGCGGCATCTTCTGTCATCGTCGCCAGCGCTTCGTCCACGTTGTCCTTGGCAGCTTTCATCGTAGCAAGTTGTTGCATGGCCACCTGTGCCGCCATTTCGGCCTTCATCCATGCTTCTTCCTACGCGATGGACACCGTTGAATGCTAGCTCGACGAACGTAAGCTGACCGTACATTGCATCGAATCAAGTCGGCGCCGCCGCCACACGTCTACCAAGGTCGGTCGTGGGGCACAGACGCTCTGGATGGGCTGCGTACCGCACACGGTCGAATTCTGAGCAAGCTCTCGGCGGGACTAAAGAGCGGCAGGAGCGGCTTGACGTCGGCGGACGGCAGGGCATGCAACTCTGCGTCGGTGCGAATGCCGTGTTTCCACAAGCGATCCTTCATCACGACCACGTCGCGGATGTAGGCTGCACGGAGCTCGTCCAGGAGCTGCGTCCGCCGATGGATCTGGTCTCGCAGCACCGCTGCGTCCGAGGTAGCGGTGGCCAACCGACCCCGCAAGTACTCTGCTTCGCCTTCGATCTCAACATGGAGTGGATCCATCGAGAACTGCCGCGGCTGCGATGGCCATCCCAATGCCGTTTCACATGAAACGCCTCGTTGGGTTTCTCGCGATGCGCGGACGACACGGGCGATCGTCGTGAGCTGCTGAATGGACGTCATGAACAATATCCATGGGTTAACATGCTTCGATCTCCTACTTCTCGACGGTCCACACGTCCGAGTTGACGGTCGTCGCGGCAGATTCCGGAGCACGGGGCTTGGTCGCCTTGTCCATTTCGTCGAAGAACTCGATCACGTTCTTGCGCAACGCCAACACGCCCGAGTTCCATCCTTCTCGCACCGCCGTGTAGTATTCGTGCTCGACCGCGTACGGTGCGATCACAACCTTCTTCGTCTTTTGTCGCAACGGCGGGTTCAACCGGTTGCGCATCTCACCGAGACGCAGCATGCTGTCGCCCGTACGCTCCTGCACCAACGTGCGGACGCTCCAGTACGCTCCCGCCGCCGCGAGCACTCCCGTCCCAAATGCGCGCACCACCATCCTTGCTGACTCGGAATGGCACCACGATGTCCGGATCGTGACACCTTATCCGGATGACCGCCCTGACGTTGCGAAGGACGTCGGCGGCGGGTGGGGACGCCACGATGCTCCATTGCATGGATTTCCCTCTACGCTCGTGAAGGCGACTTGCCCGTGTCGTGAAGAAAAGCTCATATGGATGAGTGGAAGTCGCAGCTGAAAGGGGAATGCGGTCAGCGACAACGGGGATGGTCACTGAACGGAGGGCCGCACGGCTCGCTGCAGCGAACGCTTTCAAGCGGGGCTGACCGGGACGAAACTCTCGTGTGGAGAAGGTGGGTGTCGCACTGTAGTGTTGTGCCATCGGAGTCCTTTCGCGTCATCTCAGAGCATCTATCGCTGTGTGAACGCGTGTTGGATTCCCCTCGCGGCTATCACGGTGGTGGCATGGACGTGTGTTGACTGTGGAAGGGGGTCGGACGCAGTCGACACCGATTGCACCCCATTCAGTCGCGGATGGTCGACAACTACAGCATGCAGTGTGGCTTCTGCACCCCCGGGTGGGTGATGAACATGCACGAGTTGCTTCAACCTGTGTCGTCGACTTGTGCGAACGATCCACTGACCAAGGACACGATTGAAAACCACATTGATGGCAACTTGTGTCGGGGTACACCGCCCGATCCGTCAGACGATGCCGTCATTCAGCACGGCGTCGACTGCACGAAAATACGAATCGTTTGCTGCGACCGTCGCGTTATCGACAAGGACGAGCCCGACTTTAAATTTCGCTTCCTTGCGCGGAGGATCTTATGGTGATGGAGATAGGTGCAGCGCCGTTGCAGGTTGTTCGGATGAGTTCCGCACTTCTGGCGGGCGAGGACATTCCACGATTCGCTACGGACCACACGAATCATGTACATCCTGTACTACTCCCCCGCGACAGCGAGCATGGTCGTGCATCACATGCTCAAGGAACTCAGGGCGTCCCATGAACTCCGCCTCGTGGACATCACGACGGGGGCCCAGCGCGACCCCGAGTACCTTGGGTTGAACCCGAACGGCCTCGTCCCCACACTCGTCGTCGACGGCCGTCCCTTGTACGAAGCGGCCGCCATTACAATGTTTCTTGCGGATCGGCATCCCGAGGCCAAGTTGGCGCCGTCGATCGCGGACGATGCGCTTCGCGCCGTGTACCTTCAATGGATGTTCCATCTCGCCAACACGCTGCAGCCGGCGTTCCGTCTCTGGTTCTATGCAAAGGACCTTCCCCATGCCGACCATGACGCCGTCAAGACGGATGTCCAAGCGCGCATCGAATCGGTGTGGGACCGCGTCGACGCGCATCTGGCTACGACAAAGTCGGCATTCATGCTCGGAGACACCATCTCCGCCCTTGATATCTACCTCATCATGCTCATGCGGTGGTCGCGAAACATGCCCAAGCCTGCGACGGAATGGCCGCAGCTGGCTGCTGTCGCCAGCCGTGTCAAGGCCACGGCGAGCTGGAAAGACATGAACGCCGCGGAGGGCAACACCGACTGGCTCTAGGTCATGCGAGCGCACGGACGGATGCAGGAAATGCAACTTTCACTTCAACGATTGCATCGTATGCATCATCGTGGACGTCATGTGGATTGCCCAAAGAGCGGCAGCACTGGACACACTCCAAGGCCACAATGAGCACGGTAACTCACCCCTAGCATATACCTAAGGAGTGCACGATGAGGTCCGTCTCGTGGATATTGCCGCAAGTGTCAGGGAGGAAGTGGAAGCGTTGGTCCTTGTCCTCATCACACTGGTCCGGGGAAGGCGAAACATGCCCAAGCCCGCCATATCCTGGGCTCATCTGGATAACCTTGCGAGACACATCCAGGCCAGACCCAGCTGGAACGCGGTGAACCATGCAGAGGCATCACGGTCTGGTTGCCGCGCTAGCGTGCGCGAAGCACTTCTGCACTACAGGGCAAATTGGAAAATGAAAAGTTCGCATCACTTGATTGGATAAAACATTTTCGATGGGCCAATCAATTTTAGAACGGAATTATTCGGAAATCCGGATAATTCGAATCGTGAACTTCGCGCGCTGGCAACCTCATGCTGGGTCGGAGCACCCAACTGACGTCATTGGTGACGCTGCTAGGCGGACAGGTCGATGACGACCCATTCCTCCCGATGACATCTATGTCCATGATGCCTCTCGTCGTGGTCTATGGGTACAACTCGACCGGGAAGAGCAGCTTGGTACGCCTGGCATTGCAGACCCTCCAGTGTATGTCGTCGATTTCGTTCACGGCGTTAATCGACTGCACTACCATCTACTCTCGTCGCCAACTGTTTACCGACATCCTGCGCCAAGTACGTTGCTCGCCGTCATCCTTCGGAGCATGATGTTGCAACGAGTCTCACTGAAATCGTGCTGGAGATCGACCCCATGGCAAGAGCGCAGCCGGACGAGCTGTCGGCGACACTACAGCTCCAGCCTGCCGTAGATGGATACCACAACTTGAATTTCCTTGGCTTTTTGCAGTGCTTGTCCAAGATCGCGTCGAACAAGAGCCTCGTCGTCGCCCTCGACAACGTCGACCACCTGCTAGCACGTGGCATGACCGATTTGCTCTCGAGCTTGCTCCGTCTGTCGCACGAAGTACGTGCGCGCACTTTCGGTCGGTTGATTTTCCTGACATGTTTCTGTCGTTAGCTGCACGTTCCCGTACGCATCGGCATTGTGCTTGTCACCCGCAACATCTCGGCTCGACTGCACAAAATGCTTGCCGAGCACACCCCAGCATACGTCCACTTGCCGCTCTACTCGTCAGGCGATATTGCCGACATCCTTGTGCTGCAGCTGCGCATGTGGCGCCGTGAGACCCCATTTCGAGCGTGGGTTCACTTCCTCCATAGCGTCTTCGAGCACGACTGCCACGACTGGATCGATTTTCGCCACCGCGTGCTCGACCTCCTCCCGCTCTTCGACGCGCACTACAGCCCCGCCGACGCGGAGGATGCCGGTATGGGGAAACGACCTTCATTCTGTGATTTCTTTATTGCCCATGGAGCAACATTCCCCGCGTCGTTTGTTTCGACACCGTGCCAAACGATCGTCATTCTTACTCGCGAGCTGTTTTTTAGTCGACAAAGCCGTCCACAAGCAGTTGGTGCAAGCGACGCAGACCCACGTGAAAGCGCAGTGGCACCAGTCGATCGGCCCGCGCCGCGGGGTCCCGCACGACGACGCTGCCCTCAACAACGACATCAACTTGCCGCGCGGCAGCCTCTTGCTCGTGCTCGCGAGCTACCTCGCGTCGTTCAATCCACAGGAAAGTGACATGGCATTTTTCACAACGGCGCAGCGCTCCAAGAAGAAGCGGGCGCGGCATGGTACCGCAGCAGCCTCGTCAAACACCACGAGCTCGTCCGTACGTGAGCCATTCCTTCTTGGTCGATCGAATCGTCATGAGACAGCAATGTGTGATGACGATACAAAGGCCACGGTCCTTTTGTCTCACAGGTGTCGGCACCGTGTGCGTAGAAATCGAGCGTGTTGACGCAGTTGTTCGGTCCGAAGCCGTTCCCCCTCCAGCGCCTTTTGGCCATCTACCACAGCATCCACGACGAGGTGGACCCGTCCTTTGAGACGGATCCGAGGGAGGGTCGACCCATGTCGAGGCGGGAAGCGTTTGCACACGTTGGTGGAGCATGCATGCAACACAACCGGTGATGGGACGTTGTGTAGATCGGGATGCTTGTGCGGATGCGCCTGCTCCAGCGGCTCTCGTTGTGGGACGAACTCGACGACGTCAAGCTCCGATGCCTGGCCGACTACGACTTTGTCGAACGGATCGCGGCCCAACTGGACTTTCCGATCCAGCATTTCCTCAATCGTTAAGTCATTATTACCAAATACGTCAGGACCACAAGCAGCAAGCTGAGGCCGATGATGATGCACATGTTCTTCATTCCCCCTGCTTCTTTGATCAGCTCCCGCGTCTTTTTTGTTATGATGTCCAAGTTCTCCTGGGCGCGGTCGGTTTCGGAATTGACCTCGTCAAGCATTCTGTCGTCGCGATCATGAGCTCTCGGAACGAGGGACGGCACAGCGATATCGTACCGGTTTTGAACGTCCAACTCGGTGCTGATGTTGCTACTCATCACCCCCAACTTCTTGACTGCGCTATGCAGCACGTCGAGATCTTCGTCCTGCTTGTTCATCTCGCGCTATACCCAGCAACGATCAGTCCCCGAGGGACGAGCACGGCGACAGCACCTCACACATACCTGTTGTTGTTGTCGGTCTGTCATGAGCGAGGCTTCTTCGTCATCTGGCTACGAGCAACGACGTGAATGTTCGCCACAAGAATGAACGTGATGTGGACAGCTCTCGTGCACACGCATGCAAGCATACATGCAGCGATGAACATACCCAAACTCGTCACTGTGATGCATACCTCATTGCTCACCTTAATATAGTCTGACCGTCCTTTCATGTCGTGCGCGGCGTCGCGGCGGCGGTCTCGAGATATGTGGAAAGAATGGAATCCCTCGTATACTTCTGTCACGTATAAAATCCCGCCCGGCTATAAAAATAGATTTCGAAACGGACTTTAATTGGATAAAACTTCATGTAAGTTAGTGATTTAATTGGCTAAAGGACGAACATGGTCGTATCTGATTGGCAATCACAAAACTATTATGATTGGATAAAATGGTTTTATACCAACTACTGATTGGCCAATTCCGCGTAATGGAACGCTTCCTTTGCCGACGAAGAGTGCGACATGACCGGCGCAAGGATGGCACGCCGTTGGGCATGTGCAGCCACGATGACGTGCCTTCTCGCGGCGATCCAAGCGTCAATACACGTTGTAAATGGACCAGCCATCGGATGGAAAGCCACGGAGCGCATGTTTGCCAACGCCCCTGGCGCCATCACCTCGATAATTCGCGTCGACTTCAATGCAACGCCCGTTGACGCCGCGGACATCCCTTCCGACATGGAATTCGCTGTCGCTGTGTCAATATTTGACGTAGCGGAAGGTTCGGTGCCTCCCATGGACTATTGCGCCGAGAACTACGCGGAAAGCGACCACGGGCACGTGGTTGGCCGCGTGTTCACCAACTCGACAGCGCTGGACGTCCACGGTAGCAAACAATTTGCCGTGCAGCACACGGGGGCGCAAGTCGTGGTCGTGACAACGTGCATGCGCCCCAAATTCACGTTTGATGACAATTCGACCCTCGACATGTTTCCATTCCAAGAGTATCAGGGCGACGTCGTGTACTCCATTGCCGCGTCCATGTCGTTCTTGAACTCGTATGGGTACCTTCCCGGCCTCATGTGGGGCTTGCTTCCGTTCAGGTATACTTCATTTCTCTCGTCTATGGTGAAGCATCATGGTCGCAACGATTGTAGTGCTGTCCTTGTGGTCGCGTACGTGTCGGCAGTGTCGGTCTTTGCCGGCTTGTACTGGTGCCATCGGTCGTCGCTGCTTCGGCTGCATTCGTTCATGTTGGTCGTGCTAGTCTTGATGACAGGTTCGTTTGCATGACGTCTATCGCGCGGAGTGGGATCGTCACTCGCGTGGTGTTTGTCCGCAGTGGAATCGCTGCTGTGGTGCATCACGTACTTTGGCTTGAACGCGACGGGCCAAGCGCTGTGCTGCCCGTACCCGCCGATGGTGCTCGTCGCGACCGCTTTCAAAGTTCTCTCGAAGCTCGTGGCCCGCGTGCTAACCACGATTTTATGCCTTGGCTACGGCCTCGCCCGGCCTCACTTGACTATCTCGGAGACGGTCGTCGTGACGGGGCTCTCGCTGTGTTATGTCGTATCGACCGGTGTGCTCGAGGTTGTGCATGTTTCCAACCAAGCCAAGGGCAGCGCCGAGCCACCGTTCATTTGGGAACTTCTTGCGGTCGCCACCGACTGCTGCTTTGCCGGATGGATCTTTTCGTCGCTCATGGTGACGCGCCGCACCCTGCGTGCTACCCGCCAGGTGCGTTGGCCTTTGCCGCAGCTCTCCCTCACATTTGGAAAACTGGCCCCAGACGTCCAAACTGCGCATGTACAACCTCCTCTTTGGAGTGCTCCTCGCCTTTGTCGCGTTTGCGTTTGCGTTGACGCTGCTAGAGAACGCCGTGTACGTCCGACAGGATCCACCGCCTCCATGCTGACGATGCACCTATAGATATGCCAAGCAAGTGCCGACGTTTTCGTGGGAGTACTTGTGGCTGCTGTGGGCCGCGAGCCGCGTGCTCACTTTGGCGCTCGTCGTGACGCTGTCGGTGCTGTGGCGGCCCAAGCAAACGAGCGTCCTCATTGCGCACTCGCACCAATTGCCTTCGTGTGAAGATGGATCGATCGATCAAGCGGGCCAAATTCAGTCGGAAGTCCACGAAATCATCATGGAAGACGACGTAGCGGGCGACACTGCGGCAGCATCCGACCGGTCCAAAGAAAGCCGTAGTGGGGGCGGTGCCAACGACGACGGCCGCAAGGCCGTGGACGCGGCGTGAGCATGCCCGATTCCGTCGGCGGACGCCCCCGACTTGTACGAATACGTGAAGTAAATGTGTTTATTCGAACTCTCGGCAGCGTGGGTGTCCAAATGGTTTGCACTCGTTATGTCGCACGTCGTGCGAGGTTGTTCTCTCTGGTCTATCGATTCATCTAATGCCGCCGCCACCTTACTGGATCGTGCAGCAGCCCGGGGCGGGCGGCGCGGCGCCGACCGTCGCCTGCGCTGCCCTTGAGTAATGCGTAAACTTGGAATATGTGATCTCGTGGAGCGGGACAGCGCTGTCCTTTTCGTCGACAAACGAGAGTTTCTTGCCGGTCCGTGGTCGATTCCACGGGTTCTCGTTCTTGTACGAGCTCTGTTTCCTAAGGCCGTCGTTCCGGTGGACTTGGGACCCGGGCGAGTCGACGGGTGGGCCGACGCGCGGCACCATGGTCGACGACTTGTCGTCATCTTCGTTGTCCAGTTCGTCGGGCTGGTCAGAGCCACCGTCGTCTGTGGTCGCGCCGCCTTCGCGCCGACTCGTGTTGCTGCTGGTGGTGGCCGTGCTTCCGAGACTGTTCATGTGGGCGGGGAAGCTTTGTTCGGACGCTACTTTTGCCATTCGAAGAGGTTGTTGCTGGAGCCGTCGATCCCACACCACTTCATCTACAGTCGTGCAGGCTGTCGGGGTCGGCGGACGAGCGGCGAGGGGCGTCTCGAGTCGGTTTGGACGCGGTGGATGGTGCTGCTCGTGGCTGCCTTTCTCCACGATGCCACTGGCAAATATGGGGCGCTCCCACGGCCGTCGTGGTATATTTATAGCATGTAACGTCACTGCCATGTTCCTGTCACTCGTCTTAGGAGGGCGGTTGGCGGCGCGCCGATGTCCATGCTTGACTGCGCGCAACCCCTGCTGCCTCCCTCGCCTCTCGGGCCCACTTTGAGTACTTGGCGCTCGTGTGGCATGCGGGCTTGCACCGCTTTCATGGAGAAATCCACGCGGCTCGTCTCGGCATCCATGGAATTCTCCATCTTCGCCCAGCTAGCCCACCAAATACACATCCACGGAGACGCTCTCGAAGCGTCGTGCCTCCTACGGACGTAGTGCCATCATTGCACATTGCACGATGTGAACGATAAGCCCGCTGCAGGTGGCGCCAGCGTTCACCGAGCACGTGAGAGATTCTTCCATGACTACAACGAGTCCACTGCTTCCCATGCAGTCGTCGCCCCAAGTAGCAGGACCAGTCGACGTCCGTTCGTCCATCTCCACTGCGTGCTCCAAGCAGTTTCGTTTCCCAGGACGGCATGATGCGCCACTTCCCGACGCGCCAACAAACACAGCATACGACCCGAGCGCGACATCGACCTGCATCTGGCACGCGAGCGACGACGTCCGAGTGGTGGGCCAGGTTGCCAGGCAAAACAGATAGAAATTGACACCAAGCCGGTGGCCACAACGTGTTCATGACAAATACAAAGAACGTAGTCTTTGCATCGTGCGAGTCCAGCGGTGCAGTCGTCCAACGGGGCGTCAACGACGTGGTATCGTTCCATAGCAAACGGCGTGACTGCGCACGCTTCCCCAGCAAAACGACATCCTCGCTTACTTGTTGGCCTTGTTGGCTTTGTGGCGGGCGATGCGACGGCCGACCCCACGGATCTTCTTGGCGCGGTTCTTGGATTCCTTGATTTGCTTGCGGGACTTTTCGACCTTTTCGCTCAGTCCTTGCTACACACCATCGACATGAGATCCCCACAAAACACATAATCGGTCGCTGCTCCGTTTTTTCACGTACGCGGACAAGGCGGTACTTGGGCTCAAACTTCTTGGCGTCGTTGACCGTGTCGTAAATCAAAGCAAAGCCAGACGACTTGCCGCCACCAAACGCGGTGCGGAACCCGTACAAGAACACCGTGTTGGTGTCGGCGACCTTGTACATCTTGGCCAGCTTTTCTTGGAGCTCCGCCTTGGGCACGTTGGGGCGGCCAGGGTGCAGCACATCCACGAGCATTTGGCGGCGGGCCAACAACGTGTTGCGCAAGAACTTGCGCGTGCGGACAGTCACGGGGGCAGACATTTTTCTGGGGAAAATGGGCGTTTACCAAATGTGCAGCGCGGCACGCGCCACTCGATTCGGATTCTGTCCACCAGCCAACAACGACCCCGACCCCTAGAGGCCACCATACAAACGACCATATTGTTGGCCGACCTGTGAAACTCGATCCGTCCCTCGGAAAATGCATGGGGATCCGGATACGCCATCCGGGGATTTGGATTTCAACCAATCGAATCGATGGAGGGCGGCATGGTGTCGTTCGATTGGTGGACACGAGCGAAACGCGGTGACAGCATTGCGCGGGTCGAGACAAACAACGACGGGGCGGGGACGCGTGGGGGGGCGCGTGCATCGATGCGTGGAGGCATGGCGGGGGCGGCTGGCGCCATTGCATGCGACGTGGGATTTCACGTGGGGCAAGGCAGCACCTGGGTGGGTGCATCGAGTAGAACGCGCGGCCACATGAAAAAAAATACACCATGCGACATGGAGAATCCACGGAGGGCGAATTAAATTCGGAGAGAATTTTTATCCTAGTATGTACCGGTTAGAGATGAGAAGTAACAAGTTTTCAATCGGCGCCGCGGTGGGACGGCGGTCGCTGTGCCATGTCGAAGGAAGGGTACCTTATACGCCATGGAGCCAAGTCGAGCGAGATCCTGTATTGCATCGTGCAAGATGGCCGTGTGACGTTCTTGGACCGCCGTGGCGGCGACGTCGTGGAATCGTTTGGCCTGACACGAACGCTGCTCAAGATTCGTGGCGCCACGGTCGACGAGGCGTTTGCGTGCGACAATAGCTTCATCGTGCAAGTGCGCAACTCACAGCTTGTGAAGGGTCGACAAGTCCCGGAAGGCGACGAAGGCGAGTACTTGCTGTCGGCGCCGAGTCACAATGAACGCAAGGAATGGGGCAACGTGATCCATTCGTGGCAGCGGCATTACTGGAGGGAGCCGCTTCATGCAGGACTCAACATGTCCGACGATGAAGAGGAAGCGTTCTTTCAGGCACAGTATGCCACCCTGACGCGCATGTTGCAGGAGTCGCCGCGCGGGAAACCAAAGCCCACCTCTCGACATCGCACGAGCTCCGCATCGTCAAGCGTTGCATACAACACGATGCAGCAGCCTGCGTATTGACCTACCCATACTAAATTAATGCACCTTGCCCGTGACTCCCCACACCACAACGATCGTGCATGCCAGACATCTCGGGAATGCGAAGCAGAGACGATCGCTTCTGGCGCTGGACTCGTCGATCGGGCTCTATACATGCCCGCCATCCACGCAAACCGTTTTCTTTGCTCGTGGGTGCCACATATTTCGCAATACCTCCGTGTTGATGCATAACGTGGACAACTCGTTGTTCGTCCTCAGCGAACGGTCACAGCCGCGGTGTGCGACCCATACGGAGAAGGCGACTCTTCTGGAACGTATCCATGCGGATTCCTTATCGCAGTCGTCCAATCATGGAAGCGGCGGCGCGGTCGTCCTGCGCTGTCGCGGAAGGTTCGCGCTCCGTGCCGTCGTGTCTAGCGATCTTTCGTCGCATATGAAGCGACATCGATTTGAAGAGGTAATTTGCATGGTGTATGTACCCTATAAGTTAATATTTTGACATTGGCGACATCCGAGATGATGTCGATGGCCATCCTGGGCCGCCGCACCAAGTACGTCGGCGGCGGGACACTCCTGAGGAGACCGTCATGATAGCAAAATGTGATTGAACTAGTCGCTTGGCAAGCACCCTTGTTCGTCGTGTCACGAACCTTGCGCATGTCGTCGTAAAGGCGGAAGGCGCGACACCAACGAAGACTGTGGTCATCCTGCATGGCATTCTCGGTCCATGGTCTCCAGTGCCTTGCCTCATCTAACGCCTGGATTCTGCTTGCAGGCAACAAAGGCAATTGGGCCACATTTTCGCGACGGTAAGGATGCCGAGCAGTCTCGCCGCCATCGACCCGTCCGTTCAATTTCCTCTCTCACTCGGGTGTCGACAGCATTGTCACGGCGTTCCCTCAGTATCAAGTCATCGGTGTGGACCATCGAGGTAAGGGACGTCCTGCATATGATCCACTGCACTTGAAACAACTCTCCACGTATAGCTCATGGCGAGAGCCCGTCCAAGTCGGCGCCGCATCACTTGCATGCGTGTGCCAACGACGTCATGTACTGCAGCACGCATCTCGCAAGCGAGCGCATAGCTCACTCGCTTTGTCGCTAGCGGCTTGCTCGACTCGTTGAAAGTCACCCCAGACGTTGTGGTCGGCCACTCGTTTGGCGGGAAAGTCGCCCTCACGTACTTGGATGCATGCCGGCGGCAACTTCGCCCGGTTCCCCATCACACGTGGGTCCTGGATGCGCTGCCCGGCTGTGGTACGTACGACCCGATTGCTCCCGACCACTCGTTTTTTATGACATGTCATGCTGACATGTCCTGTAGCCCAGACCGACTATGCAACGCGAACCCGCGACGCCACATTCAATTCGACGGACGTGGTCCTGCCCAAGCTCATGGAGGTGCCGCTTCCTATCGTGTCCAAGAAGGAATTGGTAGCGTTGCTGGAAGCCAAGGGCTTCGACACGGGGCAGGCGCAGTGGATGACTACTAACCTGAAACCCATGGGCGACAAGTTTGTGTGGAAGATGGACCTACCCGTCGTGGATGTCCTCTTCCGAGCGTTCTTGGCCACCGACTGCTGGCCCATCTTGGAGCATCCCCCCGTTGGCGCAGAAATCCACGTCGTCATGGCCGAATACAACAAGTTCTGGACGCCAGAAGTTATCCATCGGTTTGATGGTGTTGCCAAGACGACTGGCGGCCGCGTGCACCTCCACCTCCTCGCCAAAGCCGACCACTGGGTCCATGTCGACAACCCGCAAGGGCTCTTTGCCCTCATGAAGCGAAGCTTCAAGACCGCGTAAGATTAATCCCATCGTCACGTGTGCACATCGGTACTGTTCACTGTCGACGCGGCCGTGCTAGCCACGGACGCAGCGTTCATGCATTGTGCTCACGAGGCAAGATGAGCCGTCAGTGGTGCTCTGTCATTGATGACAGGTACAAGATCGATGAAGCGCCGGGCAACCATGGAACGTGGGCGACACTCACAAAAGCAAAATGTGTATTTCACTCATGTTAATGTCGTTTTCTCCCCAAAAAGCGTCGAACACGGGGGGTGGTAAGTCGGAGTTGGACTCTTGCTTATGGTCGAGAACTACACGAATCCACAGAGCGCCAGCCAAAACACACACGTCCACGACCCATGCCTTCCATCCCTGCGGTGGTGGAATACACTAGTGGCAACCTGTCCGCTTACAAACCGAGCTTGGTGCGGCGCCAGTGGCGGCGCTTGGCGTTGTAGCTACACACACGGGCCACAAATACAATCAGGTCGTCAATCATCCATCATTCGTGTCCTGTTTGGTGATCGCGTGGCCGTCGCGAATGCCACTCGTCCAACCGACACGGGCGCGCGTCCTTACCGGATCGTGTTGCCCGTCTTCAGACGAATCCACTGCGGGATGGGTCGGTTTTGCTTTTGCTTCTTGGCCAAGATCGTCTTGGTGCGAAAGGTCTTGTGGGAAGGCTGCGATCGCTCTCCGTTAGTCTCCTCCATGCACCCCGCCACCAACGTACCATATTCGTGCTTCGGAGGAAAAAACCCGGAATGCGCCGCCCCCGATACTTGCCGCCAGTCAAATCAGTCGATTCCCTCCACACCAACCACTTTGAATTATATTGACCAATCATGGCGAATCCGGATAAGACAGGCAAATGCCGGATACGATATTGTGTCCGCTCTGTTGGGGTGCCCGCGACCGAGTGAGATGCAGACAACTGGGCGTCGACGAGCGTGGGCTGGTCGTGGGAACGGTAGCGGAGAGGGATCTTCTCTCTATAGTGGCGACGACGAAAGATCGACGCGTTTGGCGATGGAACGATGTGCCTTGCGATGAAAGCGACGACACGATGACAAGGTGACATGCGCTGACATCGCGAAGAAGAGAGAGCGTCGTGGGGACGTTAGCTGGGACGCACGTACATGCGTGGAAGACCATGGCGCTAGGAGACCATGACCTCCACCGCCATCGCACGGACGGGCAGTACAGGACGGAATCGCTGTCGACATGGCAGAGCTGGTTGTACACGCTTTGCTGGGACAAGTTTGTGCCCATGTTGGATCTATTGAAGTGCTTGAGCTTGCATCAACAGTACTAGCCGCACGGATGTCCGAGTGGTTCAAGAGGAATCGAATGACATGTTGGTTCATAAAGTAGCAGCTAGTGGGTGTACGTCGATTCAAAGACCCAAGTCAAGAGCCCGACAGCGGCGACGGCCATCGACACGGTCGCAGTCGCCGCGCTCCCGGTTCCGTTGCCGGAATCGGTGGTGCTGGGCGACGGCGTTGCAGGTTTGATCTTTTCGCAGAATGTGCCAATGTACCCGTCCTTGCATGTGCACACACCGTCGCTGCACGCGCCATTCGTAGAGCACGCGGCGGGTGACCCATCGCACAACGAGCACTGAGGCCCCGTCGTCCCTTCCGAGCAAATACATTGACCTGTCGTGGGGTCGCACGTGTTGCCTTGGCCGCAGCTGCCAAAGCTGTCGCAAACGTTCGAGACAGCTTTGAGGCAGTTGTCGTCAACGCTGTACCCTTGGTTGCACACGCATCGGTATGTGGACGAGAGCGACCCGACGGGAGAGCATGTGCCGTGGCCATTGCAGAGCGCGGGGGGCGTAAACGAGTCGGTTGCGTTGCCTTGGCAAGCCTGCATCTGACTATCGGTGAGGTTTTGGAGGCCCCCGAGGTTTTGACTCGTGTAGATTTCGGCGTCCAAGCATTTGTAAATGCCTTGGACTTTGACCGTGTCGTTGTTGGCGGTGAAGGTTGCGGTGTAACAGTTGACGGACGCAGGGTTGGCGGTGGTCACGGGGTTGATGGCCATTTCTTCGCCCTCCAGCACGGGGGGCCGTGTCGGGACGCAGTTCTCCGCCGGAGCAAACGCACACACCGGTTGGATCTGTTGAAACTTGCTCGTCCACGAGCTGAACGTGGGGCACTTGCCGGGGGTGTTGCCACCGCATGCACTACCCAGGACGCACTGGGAAGCGAGCGCGATGCCCGCCACGTTGGACTGCACTGATACGCACGTGTAGCCCTGGCCAAACTGGGCGCAGTTGCTGTCGGTCTTGCATTGACCTGGCAGCGCGGCCGACGCGAACGAGGCTGTTAAGGCGCCAAACGCAAGAACCTTCACCATGTTTGCAAGTTGGGATGTGTGTGCTGGAGACGGCAGATGTGTCAATGCTTGGAGCGCGCGACGGCTTCGATGGCGTTCGCGACGCTTGGAATAGATCGCGTGTCACGTGTTCCGATTGGCCGTTGTTGCCGCTTGCTCATATTTGATTGGTCCAGAAAATATTCGAACCCTCCAAATTTAGAACCGACCAGGCCATTGGCCGTTGCGTTGGCGATGGGGGCGGTGGGTCTGCGCCAG